CTTTAAGTTTGTATTGATACCAAGAATGTGGTATAGGAGTGAAAAATGAAACTAATGTATTTGCCCAATATAGGTGATTTGAAGGAAAATTAAACTAAGAAAATGCCTTATACTCATCCTTAGTTTGGGTACATGACTGCCTGAGGCCTCGTTACTTTTCACATTTAATGTGAGATTGAACCTTAAGACCTAGTAAAAGTGGGAGCTTTCAGTTTCTTCCCTCATACCTGAAAACTTCTTGGCAGCAGTATTTCTGGTGGCTTCAGGCATCCTCTTTCTGGTCACTAGCTCGATAGAGTCAAATAGACTCACTTTCCCTTTCCAGAATGACCCTCGGTAGACCTCCTGGTATTCAGTTTTGATTACTGGCAATGTATATATTGCCTCTGTGAATGCTACTGTGTTAGTTTAGTCATGGAGAAAAAATTCTAATATTTTCATGACATTAACTAGACCAATCCAAAGATCTGCCAGCCATGTGTTTTAATTATTTTTTCAAGTTCGAATTTACTTGAACTTCAGGGAGCCTGAGATTAGTCAGAACATTTTGTTACTCTGAAGACAAAATTTTTGTTGAGCCTATTTACCTAAGATGAATTTTTTAAAAAGAGAATCTTCCTTCACTGGTCATCCCCTACCCCTGAGAAAAGTTTCAGTTGACAGAACTCTGGGTTAAATATGAAGATGTGCCCCAGTCCCAGCTTTTATTACTATGAAAATAAGCAAGTAGTGTTACTTCTGTTAATTCTTCTGGTAATTAGTGGCTACGACTACTCTGTGAAAATACTGACATTTCATATTTTATTTTTCAAATTTCTATATATTAGAGGTGTATTTCATCTGTTGATAAAAACTAAAGATAAATGCAGGTACTTAAGGCCACCCCAGTGTTTCTCAAACTATGGAAAAGGCAGGGTTTTAAAAATTGCTGATCCTAAAGGAAGAAAATGGAAACAAAGTCTTCATAAATAGGAAAGGGTGGAGAGGGGAAGGGAGGCTAGGGGAATGGGGAAAAAATAAGAACCAAGATTTGCCATGTAAAGGTACAAGATGCCAATGATGAATGTAACTATATTGTGTATCTAAAATGTACCAATAAAGATTCAGTTAAAAAAATTTAAAAAATTGCTAATCCATTGTAGGCTGATATATTTGTAAAATACTAAAAATAAATAGACATGCAATATATAAGTTCATCTAGTTGGGATCAAACTCAGGACCTTGTGCTTGTGAGGCAGGCACAGCGCCACTGAGCTAAATCCCTGACCCAACAAGTTACATTTTAATAATAACAATGAAACAACATGAATTATAAATTTTACATATATGGTCATATGTATAATTGTTGTGATTGTACTTGAATAAAAAGTTAGGAAAGAACAATTCTTTGTATTAAAGACCCAAGACATACTTTGGACAAATACTATTCCATCAGTATTTAAAGTCTTGGGCTGAGGATTTAGCTCAGTGGCACCTTGCCAAACTGTCAAACGCAAGGTCCTGAGTTCGATCCTGGTACCGAAACAATAAAAGTCTTTAATGTGACAAATGAGCTAGCTTCTTAACTTATCTAGGTTGGACTGAATGCAGCATTCGTCTTAGCTGACAATTGTGTTAGTTATTTTTCTCTCATTGCTGAGACAGAATACCTGACATTTAAAGTTGAAGGGGAAAGGGTTTATTTGGCTTTCAGTTCGTAGAGGTGCCAGTCCATAATCGACTGGCTCCAAGGCAAGGGTGGCAAACAGGCATCACAGAGGAGAAACAACATGGTGCACACTAGCAAAATGAAGCATGAGCACTTCACTGCATCTTTCTGTCCCTTTTATTCCATGCAGGCTGCAGAGTCCTGAGGTTAGGGCCATGCCAAACCACTCACGCATAGTAGTTTAATAACTACGCATTGTTAACCCAGAAGCACACATTCCAGATTCAGCTACCTCTGACTGAATGAGGCTTTGGGGAGACATCGAGGCTCAGCCATAACAACAATAGGTAGCCAGGCTTTACACTGATTTAACAATATAAGTGGAGAAACCATCGTTACTGAGTTATGTTGTTGGGAGTGGAAGAAAATCTTAAAAACCATTTCATCCAACTCAGGTTTTTCATTTCACATTTTACAAAATAAAGCAAATGGTGCCATAGTCTCAAATGTACCTTTTAAAGCAGTAGCCGATTCGAGCAGCTTATTCAGTGATTAATTTTAGCTGAAAGGAATGGATTTGAGCCCTTTAAATTTTATGTGGTTAGCATTTGGTTGGAAAGTTAAATTTAAAATTCTTCTATTACATTTTGAAGATATATGGTGTTAACTTGTGGAAACTCTACCTTAAAGCTTTTGTTTTCATACTTTAATTGCTATTGAAAAGCCTGTTGCATTGTTTTCCTTGTAAGGAATTATTGAGATCTTTAAAAGTACTGAAGCTGTTAAGCAAATTGTTACCCAGTTCACATCTTTTAAATGGAACTAGGAACCAAACTGTGTGTGTGTGTGTGTGTGTGTGTGAGAGAGAGAGAGTGTGAGAGAGAGAGAGAGACAGACAGACAGACAGACAGACTCAGGATTGAACCTTCTCACTGAACTATATCTCCGACTTTTTAAAAAAATTTTATTTTGAATGAGGGTCTTGGTAAATTGCTCATTAGCTCAGGTGAGCTCAAACTTTCAGTCAGTCCTCCTGCCTCAGCCTCCCAGAGAGCAGGGATCATAGGTGTGCACCACTATGCCCGACCAAAAATATTTAGTTTTGTAATTCAAATTTTCCCTCGACAACCACTTTTTAACTTTAATTCATTAATATATTACACTTATATAAAATATCCTTTCTTACTAGCACATAATAAAGAGAGCAGTCACTAATGTTTTAGGACTTTTCATGATTTTTATTATGACATTAGACATACTATTTAGTTCAACTGACTTTTTAAATATCAAAATCTTGTCAGGGAAAACAGCAATGTGTGATTTTCTCTTCAGTACAAGCTCCTTAAACTAGAGAATCACTCCTTACTGTGTTCTTGATTTGCAGCTGTGCTGTCAGAACATTCTTTTGCACAGAATTCCACACCGCTTTTGTTGCCAGTGTCCTTCCCAGTTTTACCTGGTTCAGAGCTGCTTTTAGCTATAAAACAGAACAGGAGTGACACCTGTGCAAATGTGAAGTGGGACAGTGAAAAAATCACTTTGTAAATTTTGTTTGGTAAGTGGGGTCTTCTGTCATCAGTTTCTAAATATGGCAAGCTGTGCTGTCATTGGAAAGTGCACACTTACCCAGTATTTCCAAGAACACAGTTTGATAATCATAGCTTTTTCATTTTAGAGATCCAAAGTGTTCTGATAGCCTGTAAAGCAAGTATTTTTGAATGAAATGCTGATCATCTGCCCTTTTTGTTAGCTTTTTAATTTAGTACTCTTTCAAAGAATTTGTGTTTTGAGCTATTTCTGTACATTTTAATCTTTAAATATCCCTTCAATTTTTATGGTTTTCTTGCTCCCTTAACCAGTACCGATCTATTTCTGCAGTTAACACATTTACCGTCAGTCCCAGTTCCCTTCTGACCCCAGGAGGTGAGGGCTTCCTCTTTGGTCTTCTCTCACAGATCACTCCCCCTGTCCTCAGTTGGTTTACTGCATTGAGGCAGTGTGTCCTTTGCATTAGAAGCATGCTGAGAAATCTACTGAAGCTTGTTTGTCCACATGTAAGTTTGATTTCTCTAGTTTAGCGTTAAATTATAAATTAAGGGCCAGGGATTTAGCTCAGTGGTTCTGCCGCTTGCCTTGCAAGTGCAAGGACCAAGTTCGATCCCTGGTACAAAAAAAGAAGAAGAAAAAACAAAAACAAAAACAAAACAAAACAAAACAAAAAATATATATATATACAGGTTTACGCATACAGTGTTTGTATTGGAGGTCCTAATACTTTTAGGTAGTGGACCAAAAAACCATAAAATATCACATGTAACTTTATTGTGCCTGAAAGCTATATGCATTTGCCACCTGAGTTTGACAAGACCTGGTTCCATGTTTACTCTGTAGCAAGACAAGGCCCCCCCTGACCATATGCTTGGATGGCATGGCAGGGGCAAACTTGAAGAAGTTTCCACACGCATCTTTTCAGTTCCTGAACTGGTCTCACCATGAATTCATAACAAATATTCACAGACTAATGTTGCTTTGTGGTCCCTAGTCTGAATGGTAGTGCATTAGATGATTGTATCATCCTCAAGGAAGTTATGAGCTTCAGGTGCATAATATTTAAGACTAGAGATACTATCATAGTGAACCTTTTAGAGATGAGTGCCCAAATTGCAACCTAAAACCTGCTTGTCACGGAGTGCCAAACACTGCAATTAAACCTGAATACTGAGGTCTTAGTTTAGAAGAAACTACTCATACATTAATATCTTTTGGGGGTTTTTGGGGGGGTGTTGAGACAGGGTCTCATTATGTAGTTGAGACTGACCTGGAACTCACTATGTAGCCCAGGCTGGTCTCGAACTCATGGCAATCCTTCTGCCTCAGCCTCCCGAGTGCTGGGATTACAGGCACGCGCCACCACGCTTGGCAATATCTTTTGTATTAAGAGAAAAACAACACCCATGCTATAGATTTGTCCCCACTGCTATAGAAGATAGTTGTGCTGGGATGGTGGCCCACTCCTGTAATCCCAGCGCTTGGGAGGCAGAGGCTGGAGGATCACTGTGAGTTCAAGGCCAGCCCTGCACTGTAGAGTGAGTTCAAGGGTGGCCTGAACTACATATCAAGATCCTATCTCTAATTAATTGATTAATTAATTTAAAAAGAAAATATATAAGATATTTTTATGAATAGATTCATTATATAAAAAGTATATTTTAGTATAACAACATAGAATTTTAATTTTCTGTTTCTTTACATATCTCATCACAGACCAGTAACAAGCAGTTGAAGGATCAATACCAGCCCACAGACCAGATTTCAAGGAACACTGTGGTAGATACTTCTCCTTATACTCCAGATTTTACTCCTTATACATGTTGGCCAGACTGGGTATGTCAGATAGCTGGGGACTGTCCATGGCAAAACCTAAGAGTATTATATGGTACCACTGTTTCCACAGTTCTTAGGTGTGTCTGTAAGAGTCCATCTTGGCTGCTGCTAACTAGAAAAACTTAAATTTGGATAGAACATAAATCATATCCTTTATTTTGGTAATGCACAATTTGGTTCAGATGTGGTTTGTTCGAGTTTATCTCCGCAAGGGTCCTGTGTTGGAGGTTTCTTCTCAGTGTGGGATCTTGGGATGTGTGGTGGACTTTTAGGTGGTGGGGCCTAGAGGGAGGTCTGTCAGCCAGTGGTGTTCTGTCCTTGGGAGGGATCAGGATAGTCCTTGTGAGACTGAGGTACTGCTCACGAAAGTTGAGTTGTTAGATGACCAAACCTAACCATAAATCATCTTCTGGCTTTCCCTCTGGCCTTGTGATTTCTGTCTCTTATCATCTTATCACCAGAACCCGAATCAGTCTTGGACTTTAGTGCAAACTGACCTAAATAAGTACCAGCTTTCATAAGTATCAGCTTCGAGAATTTTATTATAGTAATTAAAATAGACTGATGCAGGCAGTGAATCTTACAGGTCAGTCTTTGCAAAGTTATTAGTTCCTTTCTAGAACCGTTGCACACAGATACAGTGTCACATGCCTATAATCCCAGAACTCTGGGAGGCTGAGGCAGGAGGAGTGCAAGTTTAAGCCCAGCATGGGTAACTTAGAGACTTAGTGAGACTCTGTTTCAAAAAATAAAAGAAGGGCTGAATATGTAGCTCAGTGTGAAGGCTCCAGGCTTAATCCTCAGTACAACAAACAATGCTTACCCCCCCCCCAAAAAAAACCCCAGACCCTTCTGCACAGACCTTCTAGGAGGAGATCTGTACTTGCCGTTTCTTGAGATAATGTAGAGGCTTTGCTGTTATTAAATTAGTGCTTGTCCACCCAAATCTTCATATACATAAAGTCCTATGGTTCCAAAAGAGGGAAAAAATGACACTATCAACCAAATAATGGGATAGACATTCTGAAGCCTGGTTGAAACACTATCAATGAAATTACTAGGGAAAATTTTCCTGTGGCTATTTACTTGATGTGGCTTTTTGTGCCAAAGTAAACTTTAGGGCTTCCTCCAGTACTGGGGCTAGAGGAATTTCCATGGCTGCTGAAATGCAGAGCTTGAAGGATCTTAGGATGGGTCCTTCATTCACCTTGGACTCCAGTCTGCCCTTGTGTCTTGAGAGTGCCATTAGAAACAGTTACACGCAACCGGCTTGGGTTTGATGCCGATCTCTTGGTTGAGTGATTATGAGAAGTAAATCTGGGGCTGGGGATTTTGCTCAGTGGTTCCAGTGCCTGCCTAGCAAGCTCAAGGACCCTAGTTTGATCCCCGGTACCAAAAAAAAAAAAAGTAAATCTGGCCAGCTATCCTCAAATATGTTTCGCCACTTCTTCCTGACACCTCTTTTTTTATGCCACCTTTCTTAACCCTTCTGTAAACTCACCTGCACCCTGAGCTGTGTTGCTTGTACAGTGCAGTCCTCCCTTGGCAGAGCTGCCCTCCAGGCACTGCTTTTGAGCTGCAGCTACTCCTGCAGCCCCTCACCATGGCGTCCAAAAGGCAATGGTGGCTTTTTTTTCCCCATGACTGTTGACAAGATTTCCACCTTCATACATACTTACACTTTCCCTCCTGAGATTTATGCCTTTTCATTTCTTAAATAAGTTTGAACATTTCCTGGTCTGTTCTTTGTTGCTATAACAATCTTTGAGATTGGGTGCTTTGTAAGGAGTAGAAATTTATTTGGGCTCACAGCTCTGGAGCCTGAGAATCCAAGGCTGGGGGCTGCATCTGGTGAGGGTTCACCACATGGTGGGAGAGAAGATGGGGAGCAGGGCTGGAGGAGGAGCAGGGGGGCTCCCTGGGCCCCCCCAGCTAATCTGCTTCCCCTCTCCTGATGACTCCAGCACCTCTGAGAGCAGCCTCTTGGTGCTGCCTGGGGCGTTTTGGTGAGGCAAAAACACATCCAACCCTTAGCGAACTTTTCTTTCTTTCTTTTTCTTTTTTTTCCCCTCATTGACAAACTTTTATTTCATTACTACTTTTAGGCTGCTCTGTTATTTCCATTCTTAGGATTCCCTTGCTTGCTTCTACTTATTCTCCATCTTTGCTTTGTAATTCTTTTTTTTTTTTTGTATCAGGGATCGAACTCAGGTCCTTGAGTATGTGAGGCAGGCGGCAGAACCACTGAGCTAAATCCCTGGCCCTTTGCTTTGTAATTCTTGATGTGAGCCTATTTCCAGCAGTCAATTTTACTTCTCTTAGAGTCTTGTTCTGTTTACAGAAGGAGTATCTTCATAAAGTAAATTAGTTTTGCTCTTGACTCTGTTAGGAGAAGATAAGAGTTTTACCAATCTAGAATAGTTTTTTTGTTAACAATGAAGTCTTTGCTTGAGAGTTCCCATACAATATAGGTAAGTTCACATTCTGTTTTTTTTCTGGGCATAGGTTAGTTTTTTATTTTCTTTTTTATGAGGTATTTTAAAAAAATTTTTTTTCTGGAGAACTCCAAACATTTACCCAAAGCAGAATATATAAAAGTTGACCAGATAAGTATCAAGTATCTCATGTACTCATCACATAGAATTAACAGTTAGCAACTTGTGACCTATTGTGTAGCCTTGTCCTTTTTCTTGGATTAGTTTGAAGAGAATCTCACACACAGTATAATTTTTTCCTGGAAACAGCCTGTATACCCATCCACAGATGATTGGGTAAAGAAAACAAGTTATCTGTATATAATGGAATACTCTTTGGCTGGCTTGCTTGCTTTTCTTTCTTCCTTTCTTTTTCTTTCTTTCTTTCTTTCTTTCTTTTTCTTTTCTTTTTTCTTTTCTTTCTTTCCTTCCTTCCTCTTTTCTTTTTTTCTTTTCTTTCTTTCTGTGCCGGAATCAAACTCAGGGCCTTGCACTTGCCAGGCAGGTGCTAAGCCACTGAGCTGCATCCCCAGCCCCCAGCTTGGCTATAAAGAAGGACAAATTTGAGACATTTGCAGGAAAATGGATGCAGGTGGAAAATACAATGTTGAGTGAAATAAACGAGGCACACAAATATAAATACCGTATGTTATCTCTCATCTGAGTATGGCAAAGTACAAACTAAGAAAAAGGAAGGATAGAACCTGACAAGGAGTTGGATCTCTTGCAGATGGGAAGAAGTCCAGGGACCAGGGTGAGGGGTGAAGAGAGGGGATTGGAAATAGGTGAAGAGATGCGACATACGAGGTCCTCATAACCTCAGTGAATATGGACATTACATGCCATAATCATGAACTAAGATTAATATTAGCAAGAAGAATGAAAAAGGGGAAAGAACTAGAGGAGTGAGGGAGGGAGAGGGATTGAAAGGGATTTAAAGAACCAAGCTGTATTATGTGCAAATACCAGCTCCCCACAATGATTGTAAAATGCATGTACTGCAGAGAGGTACTCATAAAATTTAGAAAAAGATGATGATGATAATATATATCATTTTGTATTTCAGTATTCATTTCCAAAGGGGAGGTGTTCTTTTTTAAACTTAGTCACAATACCATTATCACATCTAGAGAAAATCTTAATGTCCAATTGGTAGTCAAATTTCATTTCATAAATATTTGTTTGTTTTGTTTTTTTGTATAGGATCTTGCTATGTATTCCAGACTGGCCTTGAACTTCCTGTGTAACACAGGCAGGCTCAGTGTCATGGCTATCATCCCGCCTCAGCCTCCCGAGTGCTGGGATTACAGGCATCTACTACCATACCTGGCCCATTATATTTATTTTTATATTTTATATTTTTTAAGAAAAATTTTAATTTGTTTACACAAGGATCAAGATAAGAACATATAGAGCAATTGGTTGATAGTGTCTTTAATCCATAAATTCTCCTTCCATCTGTGCACCCTTTGCAGCTTATTAAATAAACCATTTTTTTGTCTGATAGTTTCCTATGATGAGGTTTGCGTTTGGGGATAGGGGCGAGGCTACACCTTTTTTTTTTAGTCAGGTAGTTATCATTTGATGTTCAATGTTTAAACCATTTGTTTATTAAGTATTGCAAAATAGTTAAATTCTGTCACTTTTCATTTATTATCTAGAGTGGTTGTATGAAGAGAAACCTTCCTTCGTCAACTATTTAGTTACCCAGTGTTACAGTCTGTATAGAAAAGGCAGGATAAGTACATGATTTTTCAGCCAGGGGGTTGAGGCAAAAAGATCTTGAGGCCAGCCTGGGCTACATAGACCCTATCTCAAAAAAACAAAAATAAAAAAGTACATGATTTTTTCTTTATTTCCCATTTAAAAACAAAACCGAGTTGCTTCCCTAGCATTTGCAGTATAACCAGTTAGATTGCATCATTATGAATTAATAGAATTTCAACATTAAATTCTGCAGTGTATTATGATCATTCATCTTACTAACCTTGAAACAGTGCTGCTTGATTTTATGTCCTTTTGATTTGGCTTCAGCAGCCTTCCTTGCATAGCTTCCTTGTTGTCTGGCATGACCAGGTGCTTTGGATATTCTTCCCCACTTCCTGCCCCTACCTAAGACCAGTCAACTCTCTGAGGGACCCTAGTTTCTCTTGGGAAAATGGAAATAGAAGACCATAATCTGGCTCTTATTGCTACTGACTGGTCTGTGTTTGAGATGTAAGAAATTTCTTTTTTTTTTTTTTCTTTGTCATACTGGTGATCAAACCCAGGATCTTCACACTGAGTTTCATTGCCAGCCCCTAAAAATTTTTTTTTGAGACAGGACCTCTGCTAAATCACTGCATTGGCTAGGCTGAGCTTGAAATTGTGATCCTGCCTCAGCTTCCCAGAGAGCTGGGATTACAAATGAGTACTACCATGCCTGGCAGAAATACTCCCAGTTCAGATTCAGGGCTATAGTTGTTTTATCTATTATATCTTATACTTTTCTCCTGCACCAAGAGTAGCAGATCTCAAGGATATTAA